CCAATAAAACCAGTGAAATATCGATCATTTTCAGTTCAATTTCCATGGTCACAATGGAGCCATTAACAGATGATGAATGGGATGATGCGGATATGGATGATTCAGATTTAGAAGAACTGCTCAAAAGGAAACAACAACTCGAACAACAATTGCAACAATGTAAGATAAATGCAATTTTTCGAGAAACAGAATTCAGGCGGTCAAAACGGTTTGGAGAACGGAGATGAGGATGAGAGTTTAAATGGGTGAGTTGTTGAAGTTCTAAGCCTTGTCCTGGATGAGTATTGAGCCAACAAGGCTGAAGGTTTTCAAAGATCTTCAAAGATGATACTCACAAGGGAAGAATGGGTCTCGTGGCCTTTTCCGATAAACCATTCGACACAGAATTTTACGCTGATTTCAATCATGTAAAAATTAGCTGCCAAATGGCGAGTAGTCACCGCCAAACTGGCATAAAAGGGTTCGAAGTCTTGACCCTCGGCTTGCTGTACAATGTGCTGTACAATGTGCTGTACAATGTGCTGTACAATTTGCTGTACAACCACTCAACCACTCGGCTACCGTTGAACGGTTTGTTTTGTAAAAAAGTTGGCTGAAAAGGAGAGGATTAGAAGGAGAGGCTTAAAAGGAGAGGCTGAAAACCTTTATGCCAGTTTGGCGGTGATTATCCGCCATTTGACAGCTAATTTTTTTGCATCATTGGAATCAGCGTAAAATTCTACGTCGAATGGTTTATATGTCGCAGCCGCTAGTGATTTTCAGCCGCTAGTGATTTTCAGCCGCTAGTGATTCAATCACCATCGACTAGCCGCTAGTGATTCAATCACCATCGACTAGCCGCTAGTGATTCAATCACCATCGACTAGCCGCTAGTGATTCAATCACCATCGACTAGCCGCTAGTGATTCAATCACCATCGACTAGCCGCTAGTGATTCAATCACCATCGGCTAGTCGATGGTGATGGAAGTTTTTAACGAAACATTTGAAATGCAATGCAGATTTATCTCACATGCAAATAAAAAGGTTAATCGGACCAAATATTTTAGCACCTCAGGAGATTTGGCAACAGAAGTTCTGTTGCCAAATTCGAAAAATTATGTCATCGTATTGATGAGAAAATTTGTCAACACCATCGACTAGCTGATGGTGATTGAATCACTAGCGGCTAGCCGATGGTGATTCAATCACTAGCAGCTGAAAATCACTAGCAGCTGAAAATCACTAGCGGCTGAAAATCACTAGCGGCTGAAAATCACGAGCGGCTGCGACATATATATCGTTGGGATCCAAAAATCCTTTCCTTGTCAGTATTGTCGGCTGAATGTCGGCAAGCCAAGACTTTGATATTCAAGGATTTCTATTTTGCAATGATTTTATCTCGAAGTTCAGTGCATCTCGACAAACTCCTCGAAAATGACGATGAACCGGAGAAAAAAGATTTCGATTGGAGGAAGAGTTACCCGAGACGCCGATCAAAGGTTTGACTCTTGTACTACTTGAATCTTGTACTCAGAACTACTTGTACTTGATATTTGACTTGACTATCGAGGTATCAATAAGTTTTTTATCGTGATAGCAATAAGTTCTTATCGAGATAGCAAGAAGTTCTTATCGAGACTTATCGATATTATCGATACCGAGGCCTTATCGATGCCGAGATCTCGATAAGCTTATCAATTATGATAAAAATTTAGTTGATTCTCCACCAAATCCTTTTACCTAAGGCTTATTTTGGGGTAATTCGATGCGCTGAATACTTTTGATCTCCCAAACCTGGGTTTTACGTTTTTTTTAACCCATTCGTGACGATTCGAGCCACCGGTGACCCGGAGCAAACCTGGGTTGGTAAAAACAATCATAACTTGAGCTACATGGATCATTTTTGAGATCTTTATTGCAATCGATAGCTAGCAAAATACTGAAGAATGTTGGGGTTTTAGTTTTTCAAAAGTTTCCAAGTTATTAATCAGGTTCGAGAAAGGAACCAGATCATCTAAAAACGACCGAATTTGTTAAAGATTTTGGAAAACTTATCGAGATATTGATATCGATAAGCTATTGAGATATCGATATCGTTAATATCGATATCGATAAGTTCTCGATAGTTTGGGTTACCTATGCAGGCTTGGATCGGCCTAGTCATCCCTGGAATTGGCTTGATCTGGACTAGACTGGAGCTGACCTAGTCTGGAGCTGACCTAGTCTGGACGGAACTGGCCTAGACTGCATTGATCTAGCTTGGTCTAGACCTGATCTGCATTGACTTGGCCTGATCCTAGTGCTTAGTCAATTGAGAAATCGAGCTCTTACCCAGCTTAACTTTTTCCAGAAGGCCGCCCAATCTCCGCATTAAGCGAGGATGCTGGAGCGAACAATAGCTTTTATTTTTCGACCCCTGATCAATCACATTCCGAATGGGAAATCCCGAACACACCAGCTCGATGTCCATACATGGTGAGTGGCTAAATGACTTTAGTAAGGCTTGAGTAAACTCAAAAACCTTCAGCACAACGTGACCCCGCCAAAATCGGAGGCTAACGAGTTGAACACAAGCGATGATTTCAATCCACTTGATTTACTCGAACAAGCTGACGATGAGGAAGAATCGACGAAGACATTGTAAGTCGTAGATTCTATAGTATTCGATAGGGTTCTATAGAGTTCTATAGTGTTCTATAGTGTTCTATAGTGTTCTATAGTGTTCTATAGTACTTCTATAGTATTCTATAGATTGGCCCACTACCCTTGTACTATTTAATGCTTTACAGTACTTTTCATTTCTCTGGCAGCGCATCGACTCGGAAATTTTTCTAAGTCCAAACTAAGATAAGCATGGCTTAGTCTTTCCGCCTGAGGTGACCACTTGGTAGGATCAACCAGATAGGTGAACTAAGATAAGCAGAGCTTAGTCTTTAACCCGAGCTAGCAATCTGGAAGGATCATTGAGCTATACGGAGCTATCATGCGTTTTCATATCTGGTTGATCCGAGCTTAAAGCATCCGGTTGCAAGGACGCGACTTTGAAACAGGGCTGCAAAACACGTTACCTATGCAGTCTATTCAATCGAAAATTAATCCAAAAAAGTAAACGGACCAGTTCTCGTCAAACCAGCTTTAAAAAAGCGTCCTTTCTGGTGCACTCATCATTTTTCAATTCAAATCCAAATTTGAATTCAAATACTAATTCAAATTCAAATACAAATACATTAAAAAGCTATGTTTAAATATCAGAGAATGAGTATAAAATAGAAAAAAACAGCCTTTTCATGCTTAGGCCTAAGCCTGAGCCTGAGCCTGAGCCTGAGCCTGAGCTTGAGCCTGAGCCTGAGCCTGAGCCTGAGCCTGAGCCTGAGCCTGAGCCTGAGCCTGAGCCTGAGCCTGAGCCTGAGCCGGAGCCTGAGCCTGAGCCTGAGCCTGAGGCCTGGAGCCTGAGCCTGAGCCTGAGCCTGAGCCTGAGCCTGAGCCTGAGCCTGAGCCTGAGCCTGAGCCTGAGCCTGAGCCTGAGCCTGAGCCTGAGCCTGAGCCTGAGCCTTCAAAACAAATCTTCAAACTTCAGCCTAAAGCGTGTCCCCCTTTATCGTCCAAAAGATATCATCGAGCCATTGCCAACCGGTTGGAGAGAGATCACTCATGCATCCGGCCTATCCGTCTATTTGGTATCTCTAGATTTTACAGATGTACTTTTGAAATTCGTAATTTCAGCACGCAGAAACAAGAGTCTGCACATTTTTCTCGACCGAACTACCTTGGGAAAGGCTCTGTGAGACATCACGAGGTAAGGAACAATATTATTTACTATACTGTCAACTCTCGATCTCGACGAGACGAAAATGTTGATTCGTTGATTCAACGATTCTAAAACGTGACTTAAATTTCTTGCTTAGCCCTAAATTTCTTGGTTACCTGAACGGCCAATGATTGCGTTTAGCTGGCAGCTATGCAGAAAACAAGAAAGTGCTTCAGGAATTTCAAAATCGTTGTATCGATGAGTCAAGAGTCAAGACAGAGTCAAGAGTCAAGAGTCAATAGTCAAGAGTCGACTGTATAAAAGACTGTCTATCCGTTTGTACACCTTCTTCTCACCTATCTTTAGCGGTAAATCACCGTTGATTCACCAATAGTCAAGCAATAAACAAGTCAAGCAATAGTTTAGTATCTCTGTTGAATAAAAGATATTCTGGATCTGAGAAAGCTGAATATTTCCTAACTTCTTGACTTCAGGTTCCCCTTTTTGCAATCCCGTGTTTGCACGAGCGCAAAGTGAACGACTTTTACGACAGAAAACGGGAAGAGGCAGCACAAGCGGGAAGCGCTCTGCCACTCGGTGATATTGATGTGTGCAGACGAAGGTGAGCTTTGACAGAAGACACTAGGTTGGAGTGATCAATCTACAGTAATCAATCTACAGTAATCGATTGATAGTAATCAATCTACAGTAATCAATCTACAGTAATCAATCTACAGTAATCAATCTACAGTAATCAATCTACAGTAATCAATCTATATAATCAATCTATAGTAATCAATCTATAGTAATCAATCTACAGTAATCAATCTATAGTAATCAATCTACAGTAATCAATCTACAGTAATCAATCTATAGTAATCAATCTACAGTAATCAATCTATAGTAATCAATCTACAGTAATCAATCTATAGTAATCAATCTACAGTAATCAATCTACAGTAATCGATTGATAGTAACCAATCTACGGTAATCGATCTACAGTAATCGACCAATAGTAATCAATCTATAGTAGCCAATCTACAGTAATGAACCAACAGTAACCAATCTACATCACTCAATCTAATCTAGCCCTTGATCTACCCTTGGTATAGTTGTTTGGTGTACGAGAATGGGTTAATACTGAATCAAAGTAGTACTAGATACATCGAATGACCTCCAAAACCCATTTTCAGGGCGAAGATTTCGGTCTGAACGTGCAACTTTCATCAAACGCCGTGTACGAGTACGCGAAAACGCTGTATCGCATAAAAATGGTGAAGATTCGAAAAAACTTCCGCCGATGGAGAGACCGAGCCGAGCATTCACGATCGCAAAAGTTGGCTTTACTTGATGCCTTTTAATTGATGACTTTTAATTGATGCCTTTTACTTTGTAATATCTAAGTAGATTTATTGTATCTTTCAGAGAATTGGAAGATCAACGCCTTATCGCAGCGATCGATGATGGTGGAGATGATTCAGGTAGGGCTTACCTCTATTCTGTCGAATAGAAAACATAAACATTAAAGTCTTAAACAAAATAAATGAATTAAATAATAATGGTAAACGTTTTTCAGAAAAGATTCGCCGTTTTGTACTCCCGGACAGTGTTGTGATGTCAGCGCCACAGGGTTTAGCTCGAGCCGGAAAACCGGGACGCCAACGACGCATGGTTGTCGTGGTTTGTATCAAAATTACTATAGTTTCTAAATAAACCATTTGAAAGTTGTAAATCTCCTCTACAAAATAGGCTAAAACGTTTTTCAATTGATCGAAGCATTGAAGAAATTTCGAGGGCGAAATGCGAGTGACCAAAAAAAGGAATCGAGTCACTTTAGGGACAAAAATATGGTATTGATGTTAGAATTACTTATACAAATGCTAGTATTACAAGTATTGATGTTAGTCAAGATCTCAACCCGTTAGTACACTAGAATATACCGTAAATACTGTAATAGTACCCCACCCCCATAATGACGGTGTGAAGTGTTGCGTAGTCTAGCTTTGAACGAGTTTTCCTCGACACTGGTTTATGCTACAATGCGCTTAGGTATCAAAAAATAGCCCCTGAATCTCAGCTATTTTTTGATACCAGAGCGCGTATTGTAGCATAAACCAGTGTTGAAAACTCGTTCAAAGCTGGACGACGCAACAGTAGACGCAGTCTGGCTTTGAACAAAGTTTTTCTCGACACTGGTTTATGCTACAATCCGGGCTTTAGTATCAAAAAATAGCTGAGATTCAGGGCTATTTTTGATACCAAAGACGCATTTTTTGAAAGTACGGGAGCTTTGAAAAAAATGAAATACCAAAAAGCTTTTGCGACTACGCGACTATACGAGGGGGGGTGGGGTAATATTACAGTATTTACGGTAGTTATCCTTTTTTTTTCTTAAATCTTCAATTTTGGCAAGCTAACTCTATTTTGACGACACTAAACTTGTCCCTAAAGTGACTTGATTCCTTTTTGGTCACTTGCATTTCGCCAGGTCACTCGCATCAAATTTCTTCAATGGTTCGATCAATTGAAATACGTTTTAGCCTATTGTAGAGCCTTTTTTGTAGAGCGTATTTTGTAGAGCCTTTTGTAGAGCCTTTTTTGTAGAGCCTATTTTGTAGAGCCTATTTTGTAGAGCGTATTTTGTAGAGCCTTTTGTAGAGCCTTTTTTGTAGAGCCTATTTTGTAGAAGAGATTTAGAACTTTCAAATAGTTTATAACATTCATCGATATCAGGTTTTTCAGTTCTATCGTTGGAAATTTATGAAAATGTTGAAATCCGCATTTCTTATGCATTTACCAAATAACTACTTCATTTGAAACTTTATGCTTACCAACTCTTTCTCCTTACCAACTCTTTCTGCTTACTAACTCTTTCTGCTTACCAACTCTTTCGGAAAAGAGAATCCAACTCTTTAGGGAAAACGGCGGTCAACATTTTGCACGATTACGCGTCCAAATTTCTGCGCGGAGCCAAGCTTGGATACATTGAGGATCAAACGAATCGGTAACAATTTGCATTTGATTTTATGAGAATTTCTTTTAGTTTATAAGATTTAAGAGAGCTTTTAGAACGAATTTAACAAATTTAACACAATTTCCATTTCGTGAATTCAGCTTAAAATGCAAAAATGTTGACGAATTTCGATTCCAGATCAGCCGCGGCTCCCTACCAAATTTCGGTTTATCTCAAAAAGTCGGCTGAGTTCGACTGGCTCTAGCCGACAATATCAAGTAGAGAAATTGGATGTGCTGAGGCTGAGGGAGAATTTCCAGAATGGCGATGATCAAAAGTTCGTTTTGCTACAGCATACAGATTTGCAAATCACATAGTTGATTTGCCTTTTCAGCTGATTTGCCTTGAATTTTTTGCTTGAAATCTCTTCAAGGCAAATCCGAAATGCCTAGAGAATGGTCTCAGCTCAACGTTCGAACAAAATTGCATTCCAATGTACACGAAATAGTTCCAAGAATCCTAAAAACGAAAAGTTTACATGCCGGAATTGAACCCGAGGGTAAGAATAGGCAAGAATAGGCAAGAATAGGCAAGAATAGGCAAGAATAGGCAAGAATAGGCAGGAATAAGCAAGAATAGGCAAGAACCTTTTCACAGAACACAGAAAACCTTCCGCTTAACTGCCGTTTTGCTTTTGTTTTGTTTAGACTGTAAACAGACTGTAAACGTCACTCATTTGGCGCGTTGAACGCTCGAAGAAAGCCTATCTACATTTAGCAAACAGTTTTCGTTTCCTAAAGGCCAAAGTCCTTGAGGTCCATGCTGTTTGCTAAAATGTGTGGTTATTGGAAAAGTCCTTTCCGATTTTTTGGGAGAGTACCTTAATGGGAGGTCCCCTTTGTCCAATTTCACGTTTTAAGCTCATCAAAAAGCTGAGTTCAAGACGGATCGGTCGTACAAACCGTTTTGGGATATCTCTTTTCTAAAGGTTTTACATATTCCTTAATCAGGGCAGCAGATAAAAAACGCTTCTTTCCACGTTTCGTTGGTTTTCGATTCTATTAGGTCGTGTGTGTGATGGGTTTCAAACGATTTTGAAATCCATTCGAGTTTGTGTCCGAAAGAAAGGTGTTTTTCAGTGGATGCGCTCATTATAATCCCTACGCCCATGTATGATCCTACGCTCATTCTGATACTGCGCTCCTTGCTGATACTGCGCTCGTTATGATGCTACGCTCATTATGATGCTACGCTCGTTATGATACTGCGCTCATTATGATACTGCGCTCATTATATGATACTGCACACGTCGCTTGACACTGCGCAAATCACATGACCTGCGCAAATCGCTTGACACTGCGCGCGGTATCAAGCGGTTGCGCCAGCTTCGAAAATGGGTCGTCGTGGTCGAGTGGTTAGTGCGCTAGGCTCTCGACCTACTGGGTCTGGTTCGAGACCGGACTTGGGTAACTTGGATACAGTATACAAAAACTACAGTATATTGTCTGTCTGTCTGTCTGTCTGTCTGTCCTGTTTGATTCGTCCGTCCGTCCCGTCCGTCCGTCTGTCTGTCCCGCGTAGTCATAAAAAGTTTTTAGTATTTCTGTTTTTTCAAAGCACCCGTCCTTTCAAAAATGCGTCTTTATCATCAAAATAGCTGAAATTCAGGGCTATTTTTTGATACCTCCGCTTTTGTGTAGCATAAACCAGTGTCGAGAAAAACTCGTTCAAAGCCAGACTACGTCTACTGTTGCGTCGTCTAGCTTTGAACGCGTTTTTCTCGACACTTATTTATTTGCTACAATGCGCGTTGAAATATCGAAAAATAGCTGAAATTCAGGGCGATTTTTGATACTAAAAGCACCGGATTGTAACGCCAAACGAGTGTCGAGAAAACTCGTTCCAAAGCTAGACTTACGCAACGCTCCGCAATCATTATGGGGGTGGGATACTATTACAGTATTTGCAGTAGTTATCTTACTATTAGAGTCTACTTTGTGCTCTCCTGTAGCGATCGTCAAGCCAGCACACTGGTTTTCTCATTTCTCTCCCAGAAAAGCTTGATATCAGGAGAGAAATGAAAGAACCTCTGAGGGCACTAGGAAGGATTCGTTACAAGAGTACAAAGTACAAAACCTTAAAATAAGAATTACAAAGTACAAAACAGAGTACAAAGAATGCCGGAAACTGCAAGGTACAAATAGAATACAAAAGTACAAAATGAGTACAAAGTACGGCAGCATTGATATACAGCACTTTTAGATAAAGATCAACTTCTTGGTCGGGTGTTGGCGCTTCGAAAAAGAGGCAAAGCGATTAGCTGCTCAAGAAGCTGTAAGGTCAGCTAACCGAAAATTCGATAAAACAATTCGAAGCTAAACACGTTTTAAATTCGAATTCTCTTGATCTTCCAGCTATTCTACTTCCAATCCGCCGATTCGTTTCAATTCTGATGGAGTGGCGATTCTGGAGAACGAGGAGAAGAAGCACGAGATGATCGAACAAGCTGGTAACTTCTAAATTCAACGAACAAGCTTCAAATCATTCCCCAACTTCATAAATCATTCTCTAACTTTCCAGGCGGAGAACCTTTTTGATGACATTGCTTTGGATGATGCAAGGTTTCTCTACTCGCTCCACAAGCCGCAATACCAACTCCTCTAGAGCTGCTAAAGGTAAGGCATCCTCTAGAGCTGCAGTAAGCTTGAATGTTATGCTAGTTGCAGATCTATGATGAGTTTACAAAAATTTTATTGAGTTGGTTAACAAGTACAGTGGTTGGTTAACAAGTAGTTAGTTAGTTAGTTAGTTAGTTAGGTAGGTGGGTAGTTAAGGTAGTTAGGTAGGTAGTTAGGTAGTTGGTGGTTAGCTGGTTAACAAGTAGTGCAGTTGGTTAGTTGCCCGATTGGTGTAGGCACTTGTTGGCAAGTAGTTAGCAAAGTACAGTAGTGCTATAACCTTACTACTTTAGCCCTTTTAACCAGGCCCTTGTTGCTGGCTCGGGAAGTTCCGAAAAACAGCCAGACTTGGATCTGGCCTTTGACTTGATTTTCATACGGTTTGGTGGACACAGCGAAACTTACCCCCGATGCATGGGATCCGATCTCTAATGTCAGGTGGTCTTATTGAATAAATAATGTAGATACTCCAAGCTGGATCGTTCAGTGGAAGACGGAGCTTTTTGAGATAAATTCAAGTTTGCTTGAAGTTGGACACGTTTGAGGTGAGTAAATGCCAGAGTACCTTGCTGGTACTAGCTGTACTAGCTGTACTAGCTATTACTAGCTGTAAATTGATGTATTATGTAACTAGGGAACTGTTTCAACTTATCACCGATTTTCGAGACCGGACCTAGTTAGAAACCTAGCTACTGTAACTACCATAGCTACCATGGTAGCCACGGTAGCTAGGTTTCTTCGTAGAATTCTAAGAAACACGTTTGCAGAGATCTGCAAAAAAACCAGTCACGGGGTTGAACCCTCGACCTCCAGGCCCAAGACACAAGGCCCTTAGCCACTCAGCCATGGCTGCCCTTTGATGCTGGGTTCGACCCCACCGCCTCCAATTTTGCAAAAATCAAAAGTACATTTCACAGCTTATATTGAATTCCCTATTCAACGGCGCAAAATTCATTGCAAACGGTGCTCGAGAGCTGAGTGCTGAGCTGAGCTAGCGCGATCAAACAGACAGACAGACAGACAGACAGACAGACAGACAGACAGACAGACAGACGAACGGTGGAACAGACCAGACAGACAGACAGACGAACAGACAGACAGACAGACAGGCAGACAGGCAGACAGAGAAAACGTCTTAGTCCCTTTATATATAGTAGCTAATGTTTTAAGACAGAAACTTTGAACTTTCATTGGTAATTTGAAACAGTTCGCTGGTAAAAATTCAATAGCCAATGCCCATGAATCTTGTCAATCAATCAATCAATCCAATGCCAACCAATGAATCTTGCAGGTAAAGCAAGAAGCCGAGAAAAAGACAAAGCGCCGAGCAATTGTGTGCCCAACATGCGCTAAAATATCTCCTGGGATACTGAGGTTTGCATAATTCTAGGAAATTAGCATAAAATAAAAGATCTCTAATCATTGTGCCTATTTTATATATAATACAATGGCTTTGATGTAGGTTTGCTGAAAAATGTCGAAAAATGCACTTTTTCCATTCGAATTCTTCGTTTTCTTCGTTTTCTTTTCATTAATTTAGAGAAATGAAACAAAGTGTAATAGAAGGATGCGTTTAGAAGTTTTAGAAGTAAGCACAAAGTACACCCTAAATACTCTCTTTTTAGATCACTTCCATAGACGTTGTTGAAAATTATGCCCAAGATCTCAAGCAGCAATATGAGGGAATAAAAGAGCAGAAAGAGGTCACAAAAACACAAAAAACAACTCAGGTGAATTGAAGATTCTTGAAAAGGAGATGATCTACTGGATACAAAAAGTGGAAAGGGAGGTGATTTACTGGGAATTGCCAGGCTCTTACCGTACTTGATAATCCTGGTAGTACTGTATTTACAAGGGGGAAAGTCAACTGGCTGAGTAGAATGCACTATGCAATCTATACCATTCGACGCAGAATTTCATGATGATTCTGAATATATATTCCGTTTTTGCTAAATGACAATCTGTCAGGAGTTATAAGTGTCTAAAGTTTGTTAAGACTGTGGCCATTTGGGTCTTAGCGTTCTTGCGGGGTCTTAGCGGCCTTCTTGCAGGGGTCCTAGCGGCCTTCCTGTAGAGGTCTTTGTGCATATTTCTTGTTGTGTTATACTGATTTATGTTCTGCAGATTCCCCAACAGGTTTTTCACAACATATTTCAACGATATATCTCTTCAACATATTTCTCCTTGTTTTAAAGCTCTCCGGCAATACTCGTGGATGAAATGCGGTTACATTGATTCTCCTACAGTCAACCTTTCCATTAGTCAGCAGTCCTTGAAAAAGCCAACGTCGGGATCGAACTTGTTAGGTCTCGCTCGAGAAACCAACGCTGTACCACTCGGCCACGGCTGCACCGAGTCGGGTCCGCAAGGAGGCCGCTAAGACCCTACAGGAAGGCCGCTACGACCCTGCAAGAAGACCGCTAAGACCCTACAGGAAGGCCGCTAGGACCCTGCAAGAAGGCCGCTAAGACCCTACAGGAAGGCCGCTGGGACCCCTGCAAGAAGGCCGCTAAGACCCTACAGGAAGGCCGCTACGCTCCCAGATAAAGGGCGCTAAGCCCCCGCAGGAAGGCCGCTAAGACCGGGCAAAGCGGGTCGCTGAGACCCTGCAAGAAGGCCCGCTAAGACCCAAATGACCCTAACAAACTTTAAACGCTTATAACTCCTGACAGATTGTCATTTAGCAAAACGGAATATATATTCAGAATCAGCATGAAATTCTGCGTCGAATGGTATAGATTGCATAGCATTCTACTCAGCCAGTTGACTTTCCCTTATTAGATGTACTAGTAGTACTGTATACTGTACATAGAACAGAGCTGTACATAGAACAGAGCTGTACATAGAACAGAGCTGTACATAGAACAGAGCTGTACATAGAACAGTACTGTACATAGAACAGTACTGTCCATAGAACAGAGCTGTACATAGAACAGTACTGTCCATAGAACAGAGCTGTACATAGAACAGAGCTGTACATAGAACAGTACTGTCCATAGAACAGTACTGTACTTAAGACACTAATGATATTACTGTCAATAAATGCCATTGTATTTACAATTAGCTACCCTATAGTTTACATATTCTTGATTCTAGTTCTTTTTCTAATTCTTTTATTAAGCATACTGTAGTTAAATAACAAATTACAGTACTTTCTTGGAAATATCCAACTTTTAATTGCATATAGAAATCGTCGGGCAACACGGCAGTCCTCTCGAAACTTTGCGAAGAGCTCAAAAAGCTCGAAGAGACAAAAATTCGACGCGATCATCCGTTATGCTCGACAAAAACTCCGATTTTATTATAGATTTTCATAAAACTTTAGATATTTTAGATTAAGATTTAATTATTATAGATCTTTTTTATATAGATCTTTTTTTATATTTGTTTTTTAAATCTTTGTTTTCTAGATCTTTCCATTAATCGATCTAATCTCTTTTCTTTACTTTCCCCCTCCGGTGTGGCCTTTCAAGCCTTTCAATTCTTTTGTTGTGATCATTGTCAGTGTTTTTAGGCTTTATTTTATATTGTTCTTTTTAGGTATATAAATTAATAAAACATCCGGCCTATAGTTTACATGAAAGTCATTTTTTTGACAAATGAACACCAGAAAATACTGTAGTTAGACAATAAACGTACAGCAACGATCTCAAAATGCAACGATGACGTCATTTTTAGCATTTACACATTCCAAGACCCAAAACAAGACACATGCTTTGTGCTTTAGTGTAAAACAATCGTTCTCTGGCTCGGTTAGTGAGCATTTCAATGAATTGCGATGTTTCAATTAGTCCCTGGAGGCTGAAAACTGAGTCTAAACCCAGGTCCAAGCTTTGTTCTTGTTCAATGTGTAAGCTCTTTTTGTAGAGTTAGGCTTGCAGGCAGATATTCTAATCGATTTGGAAGCCAGGTTCAAGCTTGCCTTCTGAAAACCAGCCTTTTGTAAAGCTTTGTAAAGCTCTGTAAAGCTTTGTAAAGCTCTGTAAAGCTTTGTAAAGCTCTGTAAAGCTTTGTAAAGCTCTGTAAAGCTTTTGTAAAGCTCTGTAAAGCTTTGTAAAGCTCTGTAAAGCTTTTGTAAAGCTCTGTAAAGCTTTGTAAAGCTCTGTAAAAGCTTTGTAAAGCTCTGTAAAGCTTTGTAAAGGCTCTGTAAAGCTTTGTAAAGCTCTGTAAAGCTTTGTAAAGCCTGCAAGCTTGTAAAGCTCTGTAAAGCTTTGTAAAGCTCTGTAAAGCTTTTGTAAAAGCTCTGTAAAGCTTTGTAAAGCTCTGTAAAGCTTTGTAAAGCTCTGTAAAGCTTTGTAAAGCTCTGTAAAGCTTTGTAAAGCTCTGTAAAGCTTTGTAAAGCTCTGTAAAGCTTTGTAAAGCTCTGTAAAGCTTTGTAAAGCTCTGTAAAGCCTTTTGTAAAGCTCTGTAAAGCTTTGTAAAGCTCTGTCAAAAGCTTTTGTAAAGCTCTGTAAAGCTTTGTAAAGCTCTGTAAAGCTTTTGTAAAGCTCTGTAAAAGCTTTTGTAAAGCTCTGTAAAAGCTTTGACCGAAGCCTCCTGTAAAAAGCTCTGCCAAGCTCTGTAAAGCTCTGCCAAGCTCTGTAAAGCTCTGCCAAGCTTTGTAAAAGCTTTGCCAAGAAGCTCTGTAAAGCT